TTAAATGTTTTAAAAAAAATAAACAAATGAAATCTCAATTACTAACAAAACAAGTGATGCTTCTCGTGATCACTTTTTTTTCTTTACATGCTCAGACTACTAGCTAAATATGCCCGTCTTCCAAAATTGCCTTTCAAGAAAACTTGTCCGTCAGTGGGTGGAGTTTTAAACCATTGTTTCCATCGATACCGCAAGGACGTTCAACCGGTCAAGGTTATTTGTAGCTTAAAGCCAAAAGACTAAAGAGGGTTATGATGAGTCGGAGGAGTAAGGCAAGGTGAATTATGATAATTAGCAGTTATTTTACTTCCCTGCACTTTCCAGATAAAATTTGTTGGAGGCTCTCCATTTGTCTGCATGCTCTTCTTCTAGGTTGCTTATGCTATTTTAACTTTTTTTTGCAGACATAGAGGCTGCTTGTCAGAGATAAGTTCAAACAAGCCTTAGTCTTCCATATGTTGGCAAACTTGTTTAAATGATTGAGTAGCTAAAAACAAGTGTAAACTGTAGTAAAAGCCTTCTTGTTTGAAGTTAATCGTTTTTTGACCAACATATGAAACGTTTATTTTATAATTAAATAAATATTTACATTTTGTTGGATAACTGGATAAAAGAAGTCTTTTTTTTTTATATTCCAGACAAAAATGTTTTACTTTTAAATGATTGATTCTTCTTCTCTAAGAAGAGCTATTATTTTTTTAATGGCACAAAAAATAATGTTCAAGTTCAATTATATTTTTAGATAACTAAATAATTCAAATTTAAAAAGTTATGTGCGAGAGATGGCGGATCCAATCGTAAAAGATGATCATGTAATCTTTTTTTTTTTTTTTTTTTTTTTTGAAGGATGTTGTACATATGTCAGTACGTGGGGTGCTGAAAAGTATTCGGCCCCATTTATTTTTGTTTTTTTGGTCATTGACTTTTTTAATGGGTCAGGTCAAGCACTCTAAGTACATACTTTTTTAATTTAGGTTCTTTTTTAGTATCGCAGTAATTTTTACTTTTTTTGGGGGGGAGGGGTTGTTTTTGTTTTTTGTTGCTTTTATTTCGTTGTTGTTGTTTTAACTTTTAAAAGATGAACAACAATGCAACGCTTATTAATGGATTACTTTCTAATTTTTTTTTTTTTTTTTTTTAAATGAACAATCTTTATTAATTAGCTGCAGAACAAAAGTCCAGTAGCAAAAAAAATCCATTTCAGGTATTAATTTTTTTGTACATAACTCCTTTGTTTTCTTTTCTCTCCTGAAAAAACTGCAAATGCTGTTTTTTTTTTTTTTTTTTTTTTTTTTTTGTCACTTTTTTTCTTTTTATTTGTATAACCTTTTCCTACCTACATTTGTCAATAAAACCCTCTATTTGTAATAATGGGGTTGAAGGTTGGGTAGTTAATGTAATTACCCCGTGTTATGTAATTAGTTGACAGAGGATTCTTTTTCTGTCTTTTTATATATATATATATATATATATATATATATATATATATACTGAAAATGAATAAAACGTACAAACAATAAGACTTTGAGACACGTTGAAATTAATCACAAGAATGTGTATTTTTCTTTTCATGATGTTATATTGGATTTTGTGTGTGACAAATGTTCTCGGGGTTATTGTCTCTTTTCTTGTTTCTTTAAAAGTTTGGGCTTCTTACTTGTTCTGAGAATTTCATGGTTAAGAGAAGCTTTTGAAACCGTCAACTCTGGATTTTCACAGAGAAAAGACGATACATCTGTATTGTTCTTCTTACTGCCACACTGATAGTGGTGGAAGGGTTGTTTTTATAGTGAAGAAATTTTAGATTTTGATTTCTGGTATGATGAAATATCATTATGAATCATAATATTCATTCATGCTATAACGAGCATTTGGTTGCAAAGGAAAGGAACAAAGATTAAACTTTCAGCAGCCTGTATTCATCAAAATTCAGAATATGTAGTCATTTGAAAGGTGGCAAAATTGTTCATGTGTAGTTCTTCAGTTGCTGTTGGTGAGGAAAGCAATTCAGCATAAAGGCATTGTCAGTAGGGCTGGGAGTTGACTGATTTCTTTCATTGATTGGCTGAAGTCACAGTTGGGATCAGGAGAGAAATCTGGCACTGATTAGTGAAGCCAAGTTGATAGGGTTTGATGCAGTACCGAGGAGAGAATTTCCGAGGCCCTGCATTCAGATTATTTTGTGGCCCTCTGGTCAGAAAAGGAGATGCTGGGACAGACAAACTTGATCTAGCATGTCTTACAAGACTGTCTGTAAGCATGTATATCTGGTAGGGTTGTGATATGTTAAATATCTTCTTTTTTTTTTTTTTTTATTTTTTTTTTTATTAAGGTCTTCATTTCTATTTTTCCCATCAAGAATATTCCAATGTCAACTGAATTGTTGAACAGGATCAGTGTGTTGGGTTTGTCAAGAATTTTCCCTAATATTTTCGTTTCTCTCTAAATCTACTGTCATTCCTGCCACAGTTGCATCTGCAGAGCGCTCTTTTAATCACTTAAAACTAATAAAGAACTATTAACACACAGCAATGCTTCAAGACCACTACCAACTTGGCAACCCTTGCAATCGAGTGTGATTTGGCATGAGAATTAGACTTTGAGGAGCTCATCACACATTTTCCTTCAATAAAATTTCAAAAATGCACTTTTAAGCCACTTTGGAACTGGTTTTAGTCTGTATTTTTTTCAATAAAATACCGAGTTGTAATTTTGCTACTTTTTGCAAAGAACTAAAAACCCCAACTCCTAAAGGTGTTTTCTTGAGGCCCCTCGGGTTTCAATGCCCGACACAATTGTGCTGGCTGTCCCTGCCTCCTCTCATCACTAGTTTGGTGTACACACTTCTTCATCGTTGAAATCAACACCAGTGAGGTATTTGATGGCTTGGCAGTCATGTGCTGAAGCAGAATTTCCTGTGTAAGGTGGGTTGGCAGTTTGATCAATCAGGGCCACTGTGGTAGGTTGATACATGGTAAAGCGAGTTGGTTGCTGAGGTTACTACAGTAGTAATGAGGGAAGCCTGGAGTGGATAGTGATAGTTGATCTAGTGGAATGTCTCTGTTGGATTCTAGTTGAAAGAGGTATTAACAACTAGGGAGGCCTGGAGCTGGCTAGTGAAGATGTTGAGGTGTTAAAAATCACAATGATGGCATTGGGAACCCAGCAGTGATAAAGCTGGCCTATTGACAGATTAGTGAAGTTTCGGTGAGATCAAGGTGGTGACTACGACAGCACACCTGCATGCTAACAGGTGGCCTTTTGGCCTGCAAATGTGTTGGTCATTTACGAGGGGCTTTCTTTTAAGCAACTCTGGTGGTCCCCAGGGTCATGCTTTTTGCAGCAAGAATATTAATGATTGGATATAGTATTTTATTGTGGGGATTTTGTGGACCAGATGTGATGCTCTGAACCCCTGTACAGAAAACAATTTTTTTTTTATTTTGTGATTTGCTTTCTTAGCATTCACATCTGGCCGACATGTAATGTGAATCAGAAAGAGATCTAATTGCAGCAGAGTATAACCTTAATGAAAAATATTTTTATCATGAAAGAAATAATGGCATATCATACAAAAATACTGTCTTTTTTTTTTTTTTTTTTTTTTTTACAATGTTTAGAACAAATGATCAATTACCAAAGCTACATTTTTATATTGAATGCCAAGATGTGAATCTTTAGGTTAATAAATGTTGTATTTGAGAAAGTGAAAGACAAACTGATTCAATAATAAAGTAATGAATAACAATCAATAAAAGCCTTTTGTATAAAACTAGGTTCCTCCAAGAATTCAATAGAAAAAGAGGAAATACAATTAAAAATAAAATGTCCAAAGAATAATAAAAACAATTTTATCTCAAATCTTAAGGTTTAAGAGGAAAGATAAAGATTTCTTAATGCAAAAATTATTTTTTTTTATCCTTACAATCTTTCAAATTTTAGTTATGAAACTTTATTTTTCTGGTGTCAATTCAGGACCATAAATTTGTACAGGAAAATTTTTGTGGTAAAAAACAGATTTAGAAATTCTTGCAAAAATCAGATAATTGCTGGATTTTAATGAACGTTTCTGAACTTATTTAAAAGTTTGAAAATTATCTTTTAGAAAATCTTTGAATTTTTTTTCTTTTTCTACACATCTGTTACCTCCTCCCCACACACATTTATTTAATTCTTTTTATTTTCTCTTTCAGCATTTAATGTTTATATTTGTTATAAGGACAAGTCCTTGGAGAATTTAAATCAATTTTTTTTTTAATTATGGAAATATAGACATCCATATACATTTTTTTTATCAGTAAATAAGATGTATCTAACAGTAAATGTAAAATCTATTGGACATTATTTTTAGCATTTTCTCAGTAAGCATCTTCATAAGCAAGACCAGGCTAATGTAGATAAATAAAATGATAGAATCTTTAAAATATTTAAAATTTTTAAATTAGGTACTTAAAAAAATTATTAGTATTCATATTTTATTCATTTTTCAGTTATGTCCCCCTTACTTAAATTTATCAAACATCACGCTGTCAAATCATTCAACATACAAAAAATTCCATGTTAAAAAAGATTTTTTCTGTAATATTTTAAACTAAAAGTAATATTTGTTTCATTTCTGATTGATTGAACTTTAAATCCACTAATTTTTCTCAAATGATTCAGAAAAGTATATTTTTATTTTTGAAAGATCTTTTAATAAAGAGAATTATGTTGTTGACAAATATGTCAACATGGATGATTTTATGGATGTACTGATAAGGAGTGAAAAGAAAATTCCAATTTGTATATTGAAAATATTATAGTCTATTAATTTGGAATTAAAAAAACTAGAATTAGACCCTCAAAGATTTTCATTTTTTTTAAAAATACTTTTTAAATTTGTGTGTATATGTATATATATATATATATATATATATATAATTTTTTTTTTTTTTTTTTTTTTTTCTGGCATTTAAAAAAATCTATATAGGAGTGCCAACCACTTCACAAAATGCAGAACAATGCTGCATTTTAAGAATCAAATTTTTACCCCTTTCTTCCCATTTTTCTTTTTCCTTTTTTTCTTCTTCCTTTTTCTTTCTTCTTTCTTTTTTCTTCTTTTTTCTTTTTTCTTTTCCTTTCTTTCTTCTTCTTTTCCTTCCTTTCTTTCTTCTTCTTCTTTTCCTTTCTTTCTTCTTCTTCTTTTCCTTTCTTTCTTCTTCTTCTTTTCCTTTCTTTCTTCTTCTTCTTTTCCTTCCTTTCTTCTTTTTTTTTTCCTTTTCCTTTCTTCTTCTTTTTTCCTTTTCCTTTCTTCTTCTTCTTTTTTCCTTTCTTCTTCTTCTTCTTCTTCTTTTTTCCTTTCTTCTTCTTCTTTTTCCTTTTCCTTTCTTCTTCTTTTTTTTCCTTTTCCTTTCTTCTTCTTTTTTTTCCTTTTCCTTTCTTCTTCTTTTTTTTCCTTTTTCTTTCTTCTTCTTTTTACCTTTTTCATTCTTCTTCTTTTTTCCTTTCCTTTTCTTCTTTTTTTTTCCTTTTCCTTTTTCTTCTTTTTTCCTTTTCCTTTTTCTTCTTTTTTTTTTCCTTTCTTCTTCTTTTTTTTCCTTTTCCTTTCTTCTTCTTTTTTTTCCTTTTCCTTTCTTCTTCTTTTTTTTCCTTTTCCTTTCTTCTTCTTTTTTTTCCTTTTCCTTTCTTCTTCTTTTTTTTCCTTTTCCTTTCTTTTTTCCCTTTTTCTTTTCTTTCTTCCTTTCTTTTTCCCTCTTCCTCTTCTTTTCTTTCTTCCTCTTTTCTTTCTTTTTTCTCTTCTTTTTCCTTTAATTTTTTTTTTTTCTTTCTTCTTTAATTTTTTTTTCATGTATTTAATAAATGTTAACAGAATATACATACAGAATATTGCCCACTTGCACCACATTTGTTTATTTATTCAATTTTATAGGTCTTTGGCCTCCTTAGCACCCACATCCCAAATTTTCAATTTATTGATTTAGCATCCTATCCAGATAGCATATTTTTCTTTCTTTAGTTGTATTATAGTCACTGCAACTAGAAATAATCATTTTTATATTTCTGTGAATTAAACACTTTAGATCATAAATATCAAAACAGTTCTTATTAAATTTTATAAAAGTTAAGAGGGGATTCTATTTTGTTACGTAAATTGATCTTCCTACAGAAGCCAAACCATGCCCATAATACATGAATCCATAAAATGTAAAAAAAATATTTTAAATTTGAGGGCTTAATCAATAATAGATTATAAAAAAGAACTCCAGAGTAAAAATTGCAATATTTACATTTAAAAAAAAATCCCATAATAGGTGTCTATTTTGTTTAGCTTCCATAGAGGGGGGGGGATTAATATACAATAAATTTGCATAGTAAACTGGGCCATATAAACTTTTATCAAATTTAACTGGAAAAGCATTTTCAATAAAGAAAAAAAATCAGTTTATATTTGTAATCTAGAGTGTTTAATCTATAGTCATATGAGGAGGTGGGGGGGGGATTAGAAAATTTTTGGCCACTGCGCCTCTTGTTCAACTCCATCCATTAACCTGACCATATGCCATGACTATCATATCTTGATAGTCATGGCAGATGGTCAGGTTAATTCTATTGAGAATAAAGAAAAAATCAGGAATACTTAATTTTTCTTCAATACAAATAATTTTAAAATTCATGTGAAATTTACAATTTAACTTCTTGTTAAGTATTAATTTCTTCTTAAAAGATTTTCTAACATGATGAGCATTTGACTGATTTGTAAATAAGTTTCAATAATGAAAATCTATTTTTCTTCAGGACCCAAACTGAAAGTTGTCTCGACCATGTCTGTCGGTTATGATCATATTGATGTTGCAGAATGCAAAAAAAGGAATATCATTGCTTGCAATCTGTCTAAAGTGTCTACAGGGTGTGTGTCCGAGTTTACTGTGGCACTTGCTTTAGCTGTAAGTAGAAGGATTTTTGAAGGTAAGTGCAGACTTCCTTTCACACTTTTTGTTTAAAACTTCCTAGATTTATATTTATTTATTCAATAATCAGACAGAACATCTATATATTTAGACAATGTAGACATGGGGATCAACACTACATTCCATCTTGTAATGTTGGTCCTCGCATTATATTGAGGCATGAAACTGCCAGTCACCATGCAGTGATTTCTATATCCACACTGTTTATATCTACAAACAATCTTATCCCTACTATTGAGAACTCTTTTAAAATATATATATATATGTATGTATGTATCTCAATTGATGATTAATAAGGACAATTCCAAGCAGGACATTAATCCAAAGTGAGCTCAATGTAAGAATGAACACAGAAAAATTCATTTGGTTATAATTTATTTAATGAATATACAAAAATATATTCATCTCTTCGAAATGACAGTTTTTTTTTTAATAAATGGAGTCATTTATCCAGACGAAAGGAAAAGGGAGAGGAAAAAAAGAAATAAAAGGAAAAAGTTTTATTAAGAGGAAGAAAGAAAACTAAGCTTTCAATATAAGGTTTTAAAAATTTGGTGGGGAGGGAAAGGAAAGAAAGAAGAATTAAACATGAGCCGATAGGGTAACCTAGAAATGATTTTTTTTTTCTTTGAGGACTGATACAGGGCAAGGGAGGGGAGCAATCAGATTCAAAGTATACATTGAATTGTCATTTTCAACAGCGAAACAATCATCATTACATTATAATCATCAGAATTTCATATTTTCAAATAATAATAATAATAATATTTGACATCAATAAAAGAAAGTTAAATAAAAATTAAAAAAAAATATATATATATATATATATATATATATATATATATATACACACACACACAAGGATAAAAATAATACTTTAAGATTATAATTGATGTAGGCAAGGAAATCACACAATCCCTCCCTCTCTCTCTCTCTCTCTCTCTCTCTCTCACCCTGACTCCAAAATTTTTAACACCTTATATTGAAATTTTATTTTTCTTTCTCCCTCTTTTAATATTAAAACTTGTTCCTTTTCTTGTTTCTGTTTTCCTCTCCATTTTCCTTTCATCTCAATAAATTGACTCCATTTATTAAAAAAAAGTTGGTCTGAAGAGATGAATATATTTTTGTATATTCATGAAATAAATTATGATCGAATGGAATCTTAAGGATCATCTGAACTTATTATCATTATTATTATTATTATAATATATGGTTCGATGGATAGATTGTAATCTAAATTATACAAAAATGAAATTAATACTAACATCTCATTTTAACAGATTTACCAAAATTACACAAAAATATCTTGAAATACTAAAATGGCCTCCAGACAACTTTGGAATATCCTGCAACTGTTCTGAATGCTGCCATAATCCTCACCTTCAGTTCGTCTTTGCTGTTAGGAGTTTTGTTGGTCCCTTGCTCAACTGTGCCCCACACATAATCAAGGGGGGTTGCAGTCTGGGGAATTAGGTGGCCAGATGTAAGGGTGATGTGGTTGCAGAAATTATCTGGCAACCATGACTGGGTTCTCCTGCTTGTGTGACATAGTGCAGAGCCCTCCTGTTAAATATAGGGTCTTCCAGTAGCCATCCTCTTGACCCAAGGCATCACTACATCCTCAACGTACTTGATGTAGACCAACATGTTGAGTCTGAGGCCCTCATCAACAAATTTGAGAGTTCTTATCAGTGAGTTTGTCCAAGCTGCCATACCTTCATAATCACCATTTGACTCGTCCAACTCTTTCCAAATCCTCTGTACTGACATCCAAACACTTTGAAATGTTTGTATTGGAGCTGTTGGCACAAATGCCAAGTAGTACTGCATGCCATTTTCAAATTTTTGGTATAGTGAATTGCATCATGGTGCTCTTTTTCTCACAGATGGTGGCCAACTGACCCTACTATACTGTGCAGCCAACAAATCAAAAACAATGCACATAATGAAAAATTAGAAATATAAAATGGTGACATTTACCCATTGCACCCTTTTTGTGTGTGTGTGTGTGTGTGTGTGTGTGTGTGTGTGTATGTATGTGTATATATATATGTATATATATATATATATATATAAGACAAGAGAAACTGCAAACGTTTTTGATTATAATGTAGATATTTTTTTAAAAATATATTATGATTTATTTTCCATATTTTTGCTACATGTGTTGCCGGTCTGTTGACCTTCATCAGGCAAAAGAGTGGATATTTCCACATATTACTAAAAAATTGATTTTCCTTAAGTTTTTCAATGTTTAATTGTATATTTTGTGTAGTAGTAACCCAAATGTTTCTTGGAAATGTTTATTATATATATATATTATATATATATATATATATATATATATATATATGAAGAAATATAGTTTTTAGGTATGCTATATTTAGGGGGATAAAGTGGTCAATATTAGAGATAGAGCGTATGCAAATATAAAAATGAACATTGAAGTCAACACTCAAAGGCAACAGGCTGTTTCATGCTAGACAATCGTCAGGCCACCTTCTGCAATCATCAGGCCTGACGTTTATGTCTAGCATGAAACAGCCTTTCAATGTTCACTTATATATAAAGAAATATAGTCTTAAAATGTGCTATATTTATGGGATAAAGTGCTCAATATCAGGCCTGACGATTGCATCTAGCATGAAACACTGTCGCCTCTAAATGTTGACTATTATTATTATTATTTTTCTTTTAAATAATGGCCACCACTACTGAAATTTAAGATCCATCCTAATTTTTCCTCACTAAGTGCGATGTTTATCAAGTTACTGCTATACTAATAATAGTTCTTTCACCTATCCCAAGAATTAATTGGTTAGTTTCAAATTCCGTCTGTAAATGAAGTGGCTGTTCTGTGGGTTGGGAGGAAGAAGATTAAATAACACAGATTTTAATCTAAATAACTGCATATTATATAATGAGTGCAAATGGAATTTGAAGCCCTTACCTAAATCTACAGAGAACTGAAAAAGATTGGAAGGCACAAAGATCAGAACATTAGTCCAAATGTAAAGAATATTAACACCTCATCCAAGAAATTCAAAGATTTTTATTGTAAATGAATAATGGAAAACATATTCATTGCATAGCTTAAATATTTCTTAATTTCTATACACAATATTGTGTAGACAATTCAACTTCAGAATAGTTAGTGTTGTGGAGTACCAGAGCACCTCCACAAGATGGACTTATCTAAAAAGATATATAGCACACTCTCTTACTGAGAAAATGAAAGTTGAACAGAACTTCTTGTTGATGTCTCTGCCTGGAGGCAAAGAGGAACCCAAACAAGGCTATGCCAAAGGGCAGTCTCATCTGGGGAGGTAGACAGCCACCTAACACCATGTATGTGGGATCTAAGGAGAATTTTTGTCCCAGTGTATGTGCTTAGAATGCCCCATGTTAAAAACCGGCTTTGTGCCACATCCAGCTTTGTGATGAGGCTGGGTAAACACCAAAGTTGAACAGAACTGAGGTGAAGTTCACAATTAGCTGTTATTACAGTAGACTGTGTTCTCGGCTGTTAGTACTGTATTATTCTTCAGAATAAGTTACTATTACTTTTTATGTGTATCAAATTATCCATTACATGATACAACATTTGGCAACAAGGGATTCAAAATTTACAGTGGATATCAACATTTGACAATGCAAAATTTGAATGTTAATATCAACATGAGCCAAGGATTCAAGTATAAAAATTTATAGTCATATACCAAGAAATTATTTGGTGACTAATCAACTTTGGATTCATTTTTTTCTCAGGATTTGTAATAAATGCAATTGGGAAATTTAAGTACAATCTTGAGGAGGAGGAAACTTTTGTGGTGTATTTCACCATTATGAATAGGTCTTTCAAAATGATTGCACTTACCTGGCCAGACAAAAAAGAAAATACATCTGTTGCTTAGAAAATTTGGTCCAAGTGAAAACAAAAAGTCTGTGAATTACATACTCCCGAGAAATCCTGGGTAAGTGTCTTTCGAGGAAACTGTCTTAATTCTGGA